AAAGAACGAAAGTTTTTGCGAAGGCTATGGTGACAGATCCAAATGTAGTACAAAGTGCAAAAGAGGAAGAGGATATTGCACGTGCGATCCAACTGTCATTAGACGAATCAAAGCGAGAGAATCCAAGCTCCACAATTAGCAGTACAACACAACCACATATAAGCAGGTTGGTTTTCAGCTATTTCTTTATTTTGGTTTTTTTGAGCGTTGCTATTTTTCGCTTTGTAAAGAGAAAGTTGTTTTAGATGTGTCGAACGCGATGTGAGGGCTCTTTATGACTTTGAAGCTGCGGAAGATGGTGAATTAACTTTCTCTGCTGGGGATACTATAACTATACTTGATGAGTGTGATGCAAATTGGTGGAAAGGTAGGTGTAAGGGATCAGTCGGCGTTTTTCCGTCTAGTTTCGTTACTTCTGATCTTAACGAACCTGTCAAAGAAGCTGATTCATCTTTACGGGAACAAGAGGAAGTTACTACTCAGCAACCGGTTCGTTATTCTAGTTTCTCTTCATATTTTTGCATATTTTATCTTTTTTTTTTTTCAACTTAGGCTGATGACAAAGTATTTTCAAATTTCTGGTGAGTATATGATCTGTACAGTCTTTTTTTTTAATAAATGATTTTGATTGCAAGAACAGTAAAATTTTTTGAACTTTCTGAAGAACGCTTTGGAAATTTGGAAGTAGTGAGTGGCAGAAAAAGTTTTACACTAAATTTTCTACAAAAGTGACCAATCAGGGAAGCTCTGCTTAAGGGGTCCACTGCTTTTTACATGGTTTTGACATTTCTCCTAATCTCTCAAATTAGTTGAAAAGGTTAGAAACCTATTTTCAGTATTAAGGTTGCCAAAATGCTTAGGCTTTGCTAGAGATTAGGTTGCGCTAGAGTAGTAGTGCTTGAAGTAGAGGATAGGGTAGCTGGTTGTTCATTAAGCAGTGCCGTCGCCATAAGGAATAGAAGGTGAGAGATAGGCAGAAAGACGAAAACAGTATGATTTGTATGAAGCGCTGAAGCGAATAAATTTCTTTTCATAGGTTGTGCTTTCACTGACAGTGAGAGCCTTAGTGGGTATTAGTTGAAACCACAGCTGTATGTAAATCCAATCATGCCGAATCCCCGTATTTTCTTCAGCTCCTAAAAATATTGATATTTTGAGGATTTCTCGCTTAGGAAATTTGTGTTTTTGCTCTAATTGGATTTACCTTCTGCGATCATTTGGCAGGCAACACAATATGCAAGGTCTAGCGCTAACTGTAAGGAGGTCATCTAAAGTCTTGGACCCCTCTGAAGTATTATTTTGTGAAGTTATGCGCTTCTTTTCTGTTAGAGAAGTTTGGCATTGGAAATTAGTTTCGTTTGACGACATTGCTTTAATCTTAAATGCCTTGCAAATTCTTTTGCTGCACCAAATTTTTATTGGCTGAGTTAGGTACCATTTAATGACATTACTGGGAGGGGAAGGATTGTGGGGAGAAATGGGCGATTTTTACAAGTCATGTCGGAATTTTTTTTTTCTTCGAATGCTTTTTTTCCCAAATAACTATTCAGTTTAGGTTTTAGTTGCCCGTATTGACGAAGATTTGCTCGCAAAATGCGAGGTTATGCTGCAGGAATGTCACCCATCGAAAGCCGAAGATCCAGAACTCCCTGAGATAGAGAAACAGTGTCTGGCACAGGTAATTTTGAGATAGCTTCATTTGTATTCCAACTATTTAGAAATGAGGTCTCTTTGGATTTCGAGAGGACATCGAATTCAAAGTGCGGGTGAAAAGAAACCGTATGAATTTTGAGTACTTATTGAGTTCCCATCCTTTGCAACTTTGCCTACATAATGATGCGTTAATATCAATGGTCTAGACTTGAGGATTTTCAGTCCCTTTGCCAG